CAGTAAAGAGAGGGGGAACGGGAGGAGCCGCGCTTTGACGTTTGACTGAATCCCCTAACTCCACAAACCTGGCCCCAGCCCATAATCACAGCCTTGACGTCACTCCCTTGACCCCTAGATCTCAGCCTAGCTGTACTCTGCCCTTAACCTCTAGCCTTGGCCCAATCCGTCTATGACCCCTGACCTCTGACCCCCGGCCCGATCAAGCCTTCGCCCCCCCCCCGCCCCGCCCTCTGGAAGACGGACTTCAGGCACAGCCAGTAGTCTGAGTCACTGCTGTCGATTGCGCCCAATAGCGCGGGAGAGGAGGCGGGTTCTGGGGAGAGCCAATAGTTTGAGAGGGCGATCCGAGTAACAACCAGTAGCCTTGAGCGAGAGGCGGGACTCTGAGAAACGCCAATCGCTGGAGGGACTCGGCGTAACCACAGCCAACGGCTGCGGGGCGGGGGTGTGCTCCTGATCCCGGCAGCTTCCACGACCCGGCTCCAGGGCTATGGCCGGGAGTGGGCGGCTAGCGCTGTGGAGCGTGGCCGGGCAGGGCTGGGTGCGGGGCTCGGGGCCGGCCGTGCTAAGCCGCCTACGGGACGCGGCCGTGGTACGGCCCGGCTTCCTGAGCGCGGCCGAGGAGGAGACACTGAGCGGCGAGCTGGAACCCCAGCTGCGCCGCCGTCGATACGAGTACGATCACTGGGACGCGGTGAGGCTGCTGGCGCTGGGGGCGGAGCCACAGCGGGGCGGGGCCTGGGACGTTAGGGGCGGGACGGGGAGTGGAGCCCTGGGGTGGGCGGGGCTACATCTGGGGGCGGGACCTGGGAATGGGGGCAGTGTCTTGAAGCTGAGGGGCCTTCCGGGCAGGGAGAGCGCTTTGGACGTGAGGGCAGGGTCATAACTGGAGGCAGCACCTGGAACTGAGGGGTGTTTGGGGAACAGGACCAAAGTTAGGGGCGGAAACGGTGTGGAGGGAGTGAGGGAGGGTCACGGGTTGGGGGTGGACCTGGTGTTGGGTGGGATCACGTTGTGAATATTGAAGCTGGGCCAGCATTAGGGACGGCATCTGGGACTGAACTGGAGCCTGATGGTGGGTAGAAAGGACTGAGGCCAGGGGTTCGATCCCTGGTCCAGGAAGATCCCACACGCCACGGAGCAACTAAGCCCATGTGCCACAACTCCTGAGCCCAGACGCCACAGCTACTGAAGCCCGTGCTCCGCAACAAGAGAAGCCACTGCAATGAGAAGCCCGCACACCGCAACGAAGAGTAGCCCCCGCTCGCCGCAACTAGAGAAAGCCTGCGCGCAGCAACGGAGACCCAACACAGCCAAAAATAAATAAAATTTTTTATAAAAGGACTAAGGCCAGACCCAGATGGGTCACGGTTGGGGTCTGAGACCCAGCATCACGGGGTAGATAGGACCAAGGTTGGGAGTTGAGGGGGGGGGTCAAGGGTCATGCTGGAAAAACCAGGCCTTTGCTTTGTACTTCCACCACCCTCTCTCCCAACCCACGCCAGCCCCACAATGTGCCTCAGTTTCCCTTTTCCCCCCTGGGAGCTTCCAGGCTTGACCTGAGCTCTCTGGGCAGGCCATCCACGGCTTCCGAGAGACAGAGAAGTCGCGCTGGTCAGAGGCAAGCCGGTCCATCCTGCAGCGTGTGCAGGCAGCCGCCTTTGGCCCCAGCCAGACCCTGCTCTCCTCGGTGCATGTGCTGGACCTGGAACCTCGGGGGTACATCAAGCCACACGTGGACAGCATCAAGGTGGGCAGAGGCCAGTGCCTTGGAGTTCCCGGCTGGGGGTGAGCCGGCCAGGCCAAAGCCCACCTGCCAGTGTGTCCCCTCTTCCAGTTCTGTGGATCCACGATTGCTGGCCTGTCCCTGCTGTCTCCCAGCGTCATGCGGCTGGTGCACACCCAGGAGCCAGGGGAGTGGCTGGAACTCTTGCTGGAGCCGGGCTCCCTCTACATCCTTAGGTAGTGGCAGCCAGGGAGCCCCCACCCTACCAGTAACTCCTGAGATGCCCACCCAGCACTTTGAGCACCGTCTCTCATTCAGCCCTGACGGCGGACTCTACCCCCCACCGCAGGCGCTCTGCCTGCAACAGGGGCTGCCCTCACCCCACCTGGCCACAGCCTCTGTTTTCTCTTGCAGGGATTCGGCCCGTTATGACTTCTCTCACGAGATCCTTCGGGATGAAGAGTCCTTTTTTGGGGAGCGTCGGGTTCCCCGGGGCCGACGCATCTCCGTGATCTGCCGCTCCCTCCCTGAGGGGATGGGGCCTGGGGAGCCCGGGCAGCTGCCCCCACCCTGCTGACCCCGGGGCCCTCCCCCCCAGCTGCTCAAGACACCGTGTTTGTGAATAAAGTTGGAGAGTGGACAAGCTGGCCTTCCTAGCACCGGCTGTTTTGGGGGGCTGGAATCTGCAGGGGAAGCCTGGGACCCCACCTGCCCACCCGTTGGGAGCATCCCCGGCAGGACACACACTCACGAGGCTGGAGGAGCAGTTTCCTTTATTGCGCCCCTTGCTGGCGGCCCAAACCACCTCCCCTTCTCTTCGCCTCGGCATCCAAGCCTCCAATAAATAAGTCAGCTGAGCTCCTCCAGCGGCTGCAGGGCCCCAGGCCGGGCATTCTCAGCCGCCGCAGCCACAGGCTGCCGCCGAGAGCTGGGGCAGCCGCTGCCAGCGGTGGCGGTCGTCGAGGAAGGCCACATCGGCGTAGCGGGTGGGGCGGCAGCAGGGCCCGCCGTGGGCTCGGCCCTGGCCCCGCAGCCGGGCCAGCGTCAGGCCATGCTGGGTGCGGGGTAACCACAGCCAACGGCTGCGGGGCGGGGGTGTGCTCCTGATCCCGGCAGCTTCCACGACCCGGCTCCAGGGCTATGGCCGGGAGTGGGCGGCTAGCGCTGTGGAGCGTGGCCGGGCAGGGCTGGGTGCGGGGCTCGGGGCCGGCCGTGCTAAGCCGCCTACGGGACGCGGCCGTGGTACGGCCCGGCTTCCTGAGCGCGGCCGAGGAGGAGACACTGAGCGGCGAGCTGGAACCCCAGCTGCGCCGCCGTCGATACGAGTACGATCACTGGGACGCGGTGAGGCTGCTGGCGCTGGGGGCGGAGCCACAGCGGGGCGGGGCCTGGGACGTTAGGGGCGGGACGGGGAGTGGAGCCCTGGGGTGGGCGGGGCTACATCTGGGGGCGGGACCTGGGAATGGGGGCAGTGTCTTGAAGCTGAGGGGCCTTCCGGGCAGGGAGAGCGCTTTGGACGTGAGGGCAGGGTCATAACTGGAGGCAGCACCTGGAACTGAGGGGTGTTTGGGGAACAGGACCAAAGTTAGGGGCGGAAACGGTGTGGAGGGAGTGAGGGAGGGTCACGGGTTGGGGGTGGACCTGGTGTTGGGTGGGATCACGTTGTGAATATTGAAGCTGGGCCAGCATTAGGGACGGCATCTGGGACTGAACTGGAGCCTGATGGTGGGTAGAAAGGACTGAGGCCAGGGGTTCGATCCCTGGTCCAGGAAGATCCCACACGCCACGGAGCAACTAAGCCCATGTGCCACAACTCCTGAGCCCAGACGCCACAGCTACTGAAGCCCGTGCTCCGCAACAAGAGAAGCCACTGCAATGAGAAGCCCGCACACCGCAACGAAGAGTAGCCCCCGCTCGCCGCAACTAGAGAAAGCCTGCGCGCAGCAACGGAGACCCAACACAGCCAAAAATAAATAAAATTTTTTATAAAAGGACTAAGGCCAGACCCAGATGGGTCACGGTTGGGGTCTGAGACCCAGCATCACGGGGTAGATAGGACCAAGGTTGGGAGTTGAGGGGGGGGGTCAAGGGTCATGCTGGAAAAACCAGGCCTTTGCTTTGTACTTCCACCACCCTCTCTCCCAACCCACGCCAGCCCCACAATGTGCCTCAGTTTCCCTTTTCCCCCCTGGGAGCTTCCAGGCTTGACCTGAGCTCTCTGGGCAGGCCATCCACGGCTTCCGAGAGACAGAGAAGTCGCGCTGGTCAGAGGCAAGCCGGTCCATCCTGCAGCGTGTGCAGGCAGCCGCCTTTGGCCCCAGCCAGACCCTGCTCTCCTCGGTGCATGTGCTGGACCTGGAACCTCGGGGGTACATCAAGCCACACGTGGACAGCATCAAGGTGGGCAGAGGCCAGTGCCTTGGAGTTCCCGGCTGGGGGTGAGCCGGCCAGGCCAAAGCCCACCTGCCAGTGTGTCCCCTCTTCCAGTTCTGTGGATCCACGATTGCTGGCCTGTCCCTGCTGTCTCCCAGCGTCATGCGGCTGGTGCACACCCAGGAGCCAGGGGAGTGGCTGGAACTCTTGCTGGAGCCGGGCTCCCTCTACATCCTTAGGTAGTGGCAGCCAGGGAGCCCCCACCCTACCAGTAACTCCTGAGATGCCCACCCAGCACTTTGAGCACCGTCTCTCATTCAGCCCTGACGGCGGACTCTACCCCCCACCGCAGGCGCTCTGCCTGCAACAGGGGCTGCCCTCACCCCACCTGGCCACAGCCTCTGTTTTCTCTTGCAGGGATTCGGCCCGTTATGACTTCTCTCACGAGATCCTTCGGGATGAAGAGTCCTTTTTTGGGGAGCGTCGGGTTCCCCGGGGCCGACGCATCTCCGTGATCTGCCGCTCCCTCCCTGAGGGGATGGGGCCTGGGGAGCCCGGGCAGCTGCCCCCACCCTGCTGACCCCGGGGCCCTCCCCCCCAGCTGCTCAAGACACCGTGTTTGTGAATAAAGTTGGAGAGTGGACAAGCTGGCCTTCCTAGCACCGGCTGTTTTGGGGGGCTGGAATCTGCAGGGGAAGCCTGGGACCCCACCTGCCCACCCGTTGGGAGCATCCCCGGCAGGACACACACTCACGAGGCTGGAGGAGCAGTTTCCTTTATTGCGCCCCTTGCTGGCGGCCCAAACCACCTCCCCTTCTCTTCGCCTCGGCATCCAAGCCTCCAATAAATAAGTCAGCTGAGCTCCTCCAGCGGCTGCAGGGCCCCAGGCCGGGCATTCTCAGCCGCCGCAGCCACAGGCTGCCGCCGAGAGCTGGGGCAGCCGCTGCCAGCGGTGGCGGTCGTCGAGGAAGGCCACATCGGCGTAGCGGGTGGGGCGGCAGCAGGGCCCGCCGTGGGCTCGGCCCTGGCCCCGCAGCCGGGCCAGCGTCAGGCCATGCTGGGTGCGGGCGCCGCGGGGACAGCTGCCGGCACAGTAGCGGAAGATGACCGTCTCCTCCGACGTGTAGCCCAAGCCCAGCTCGGCCACGGGCAAGGGTAGGCTCCACAGCTGGCACGGGCCGGCCAGGGCTCGGCGCGGGCGGGTGCCTGCGGGGACAGGGGGCAGCTGACAGCGGGCAGGGTCTGGGCGGGAAGGAGTCGGGGAGCGCACAGGGTTCTGGGGGTCCTTACCCAGCTGCGGCCTCCAGGTCCCTCTGTCCACCACTGGCTCAGACAAGAGCTCCTCCTCTGCCACCGAAGCCCCCCAGGCCCCAGGGCCCCCGCGGAGGTCCAAGTGCAGGGTCAGGAGCAGCAGAGAGCCTAGCAGGACTCGTCCTGTGGCCATGGTGACAGGCAGGTCCTGGGGGTGGAGATGCCCTGCGCCCTCAATTTATCCCCCGGCATGAGCTGCGGAGATAACCTCTTCACTGCCGGCCGCTGCCCTGTCACAAAGGCCTCCGCGTCCCACACCTGGGGCCCAGGCAGTCCCTTTCCTCCTGCCCCACACCCCACATCCTTCTAAGAGTTAAGGGCGCACACCCCCCGCATACCCCATCCAGACATTCCACAGACCTATTTCCGACACCCCCTCCGCCCCGTGATTTACAAGTGTTGTGGCGGCAGCCAGGGCCGATCCGAGGGCGGGCAACCAGGGTCCCCACCCGACCTGCCGTCTGGAGGGAGAGGTGGGGGGCCCCATGGGTCCCCCATTGGGGGCTCTCCCCACTTGGGCAGGGCGCTGGGGCTCAGTAGCCCCCGTGTCACGCCCCAGGTAGAGCAGACGTGGGTAGGGGGAAGAGGTGGGTTGGCAGGTGGGTGAGCTGACGGGGAATCCATCATGGCTCCTGCCTGGAGGATTAAGACATCATGCCACTGTCTCCGGGCCTGGCGGAGCCAGCATCAAAACAGGAAAGGGGAGAGGCTCGGGGACAGCCAAGAGCTGGGACACCAGGGGCAGGAAGCTCACCCCGCAGGGACTCCTGTCTCTAGAAGGCCAACCTGAGCCCCCTGGGACCTCAGTCCTGCCCTAGGGTCAGAGGGCATCAGAGCAGAGGGGCAGTTAGGCCCCGCTCTGGTCCCGGTGACCTCCCTGCCCTTCCCATCACCCCAGGGAAGTGAGCCTCCATCCCCAGCCGTGAAAGGGGGCTAAACCAGAGTCCCTCCCACATGGGGAGGACAGACAGAAGACGTATTTAGTGTGTAACGTGGTGCCTGGCACTGTGCAGTTGCGAGAGCTTTTGAGGCAAGGGAAATACGAACAGCTTGTGGAGGTTTGACGAGGTGCTCAATCTCACGCAGGTGAGACTGGGTTAAAACTTGGATGAGACTGTGCACACAAGATTGGCAGACATCAAAGTCTGCTTACACCCGGCTGTGTGTGTGTGTGTGTGTGTGTGTGTGTGTGTGTGTGTGTGTGTGTGTGTGTGACGGGCACGCCTGGTGGTAGCACTGTAAATCGGTGGCCGCTGAGCATTTGCTACAGAAACTGCAAATCACATCCCTCTGATCCAGGACACCTGCTCAGGAACTCATCCTCCTCAGGTGAGGCAAGATGCAAGCTCAGGGTTATTCGCTGCCTTTTGTATCAGCAAGAGACTGGAGAGGACCTCAACTCCACCCACAGGGGACCGCCTCAATGATTTTGGTGTGGTTGTTCTTGCGCTGTTTATTGAGACTACTTTCAGATGGGGGGTGGGAATGTCACTTATCCAAAGTCACCCAGAATTAAGAAACACTGGTGGGATTTGGACCCAAGTCAAGCTGAATGCAAGACCCCTGCTCTGAACCACCGGGGCACATGGCCCGGCCTGGTGGGGAGGCCTTAGACCTCGGTCCACGTGGCAGGCAGAGAAGGGGTGAAATTGCCAGGGCAAGGGGCCATTGCTTCTCTCCCAAAAGGCCTGGTGGAAGGATGGGGAGGGAGGGTGGAATGACCTGGGACATTCCTAGGAATTAACCTGGCGTCTCAGGCATTCCCGCTCGGCAGCCAAAGGCCTGTGGAACTGGATGGGAAAGTTTTCCACCCACAGTCTCCAGCTTGGGCAAGACGGAAGGCCGGCATCCTGCCCCCAGCTGGATCACTCCAACGGGGGTTCAGAAGTACTCCTGCTGCCAAATTCCGTTTCCAGCAACGTGACTGTCCACGAACTCAAAAAGCCCTTCTGCTACAGCACTCCTAGCAACGCTAGATAAAACAGATGCCTAACCAACTTGTAAGAATCTAAGGGAAGCCCCAGAAACATCACTGGGAAGTTGAAAAATAGGGGCCAGATGCCGAGATCAGCAAGAAGGGGGTTTGGGATTTTGTGGCCTTGGTGGGACAGAGCCACAAGCTGAGAACCACACCTAAAATGGGCTCAGGACAGGACTTCTGGGGCACCTGCTGGGAGCATATGCAAAAACCATCTGGAAGGACTTGCCTGCAAAGCAGACCATGCGGGGAGTCTCACAGATAGAGGCCCGAGCTGGCCACGAGTCCGCCATCCCAGATCCCAAAACACGAGAACAGATCATGAAAAGGAGTCAGGATACAACAGGATGCCCGTGAGCTTCAGGTCCTAGGTGAGTGTGATGGAGGCTGTAAGTCAAGGATGCTTAAAACTAAAACTGCGAAAGAAGGGATCAAAAACAGAAGGGGCCAGACGCTGAAAACAGACCTGCTGATCTGAGAGAGAAACAAAGATACCTCGGAGAATTGGAAGACAGACAGTGAAACTAAGTGCTGAATGGGTTTAGGTGGTGGATAAGCCACAGCTGAAGAGAGAACTCGTCAAATGGAAGACCTGAAAGAAATCACCCAGCAGAAGCTCAGTGGAGGAGGTTGAGGGGTAAGGAGAGGATTAAGTTCTAGAGGTTTCGGAAGCAGGGGACTGGAGACTGAGAGAAGTAAACTGTGGAGAAAGCACTGGGGTCCTCAGACTCAGAGGGTGGGGTGACAGACGGGCAGTGGGACAGGAGGTGGTGAGTGTGGGAATCAAGAGCCCGAGGATTCTAGAAAACAGAGCATGTTTATTCGGGGGGAGCCTCACTCCTTGAGGGAGAAGTGCATCTTGTCATTGATCATCTTGAGCTCGGGGTTCAGGCGCTTGAGGATCTGGGCCAGCACGTTCACCGTCTGCTCACTGCTCAGCCCCGTCTTCTTGGTCTGGAACTTTTTCAGCAGGTCCTTGGTGGTCATGGGCTTCCGTGTCAGGTAGCGGCGCACAGCATCCTCGGTCACCTGCACGTCGCTGGAGGTGGGCAAGTGGGTGTCAGGCGGCCCTCCGTCCCCAAGGCCCCCCCTCCGAGGCCCCCCCTCCAAGCCCCCTCCCTGCTCCTGCCATCTTCGCCAGCTTACCCGCTGCTGGGGGTGGACTTCCCGGACTGGGGCTGGGGGGTGGACTTCCCCGACAGGCTCTGGGGCCCGGTGTCCAGCCGCAGCCGCTTGGCCGCCGGCGTCTCGCTGGTCCGCTTCCCTGTGGGAGCAGAGGTGGGGCTGAGCCTTGGGGCGGGGAGGCTGGACCCCTGGGGGGACCCCGGGCCAGCGGTGCCAGGATTACATGTGCAAGGGTCTCAGGGGCAGGCAGACAGGATGCTGAAAGGGAGGACAAGGACGGGGCCAAGAGGTTGTGGCGGGCAGGGTGGGACGGGGCGACTCACCCTGCTCCAGCTTGTTGGCGGCCGCCCGCAGGGTGGAGGAAGTGCTGCCCGTCTCCGTGCTGGGTGTGCCGGGCCGGCTGTGGCCCCGGGAGCTGCCGCCCGACTGCTTCCGCTCCCTCTTGGGGGGCGTCTTCTTCTTCTGGGACACCGGAGTTGGGGGTGTGAGTCTGGAGAGGGCCACGCCGTCCCCCCGCCCCAGGCTGGGCCTTACCGCCATGAAGAGCGCCGAGGAGGCCTCGCTGTCGATGTCGCTCTCCTCAGAGCTGTCTGACTCCTCGCTGCTGTCTGCGCGGGGCCAGGGGAGGGGTGTCAGGAGCGGAGGCCCCCCCCCCCCGCCCCCCCCCCCGCCCCATCCCAGATCAGGGCCCGGGCGCGGCCGGGAGGGGCGCCCCCACCGCGTCTGCGCTTCTTGTCCTGCGGCGTGGGCGCCTTCTTCCCCTCGTCCTCGTCCTTGTCCTCCTCGGGCGGCTTCTCCTCCTCGCTCTCCTCGCTGCTCTCGCTCTGCTCGTCCACGCCCTTGGGGCCCTCCTCCCGCTGGCTGACCTTGGGCTTGCCCTCCAGCTCGCCCTGGGAGCTGCTGTAGGCCGAGCAGAGAGCGGCGGAGGGTGAGGGAGCGCGTGTGCAGGCCGGCCCAGGGTCTCACACCCGCCTCCCGCCTGCCCCACCTGGAGCCGTCGGACATGTAGTCCACCTCCTGGCCCTCGAAGTCCCCGTCGTCACTGTCTTCAAAGGCCTCGTCGTCTGACCCCTTCTTTTTCTTCCTCCTGCCCCCCTTGCTGGGCGGCGCCTTCTTCTTGGCTTTGAGGGCCCGGCCGCCTGGGGAAGGGGAGACCAGGGGAGGGGCTCGGATGGGCACAATTCACGCTTTGCGTTTCCAATGACACCTGATGTCTCCGGGGCCTTTGCCCCCTGGGGAGAGACACCGGACCGGCCCCAATTCCTCCAAGAGGCAAAGAGCTGGCCCAGGGGCGCACCTCTCACCCACAGGCCAACCCGGCTGCACACCCGCACCACCCCCTTCTCTCTCACACGCAGGGCCGCCATCCCTGCCCTGTATCACCTGGGCAGCCAGAGACCATGCTTTGGCCCAGAGCCCACTGGCATGACTCAAACTGGCCAGTGCTAAGCCGTTTCCTTGGAAACGCAAGTTGAGGCCGTGGCGGAGGCCTTCCTGTGGCTCCCTGCTGCCTCCTACCAACGCTGGCGCTGGCGCTTCCCCAGGCGGCCGAGCTCCCGGGCCCAGGGGCCCATGAGTAACCAAGTTTTCCTTTCAGGGGCATTAACCTGAGTCATCACACAGCCACCTTGATAAATTATGACCGGGCACTAATCAGGCAGCTGTGCCGATCACCCCAGCCATGGAATATCTGCCAGCCTCACCCTCCTCGCCACTGGCCTCGCTGTCATCAGAGGACATCTCCAGGTCATCCTCCAGGTCGTGGATGCGCAGCTCACTGGGCTTCTTGCGCCCACGCTTCTCCTTCTCCTCGTCCTCCTCGTCCTGGTCCTGGTCCTTGAGCCGCCGCTGCTGCATGATGCTGAAGTGGTTCAGGACTTTGTTTCTCCTGTGGGTGGGGGGCATAGCAGGGGCTGACAAGGGGCCTGGCTCCAGAGCCCGCCTCCAGGAGCTGGGCCTTGTCCCGGGTGCCACCCTGTTCTTCCACCGGGCATTCCCCGGAGGGGAACCACAGACACATGTAGGTGAGA